CTAAAAACATATTCAAATAGAAATGAAATGAAATGGCGTTTAAAGCACTACTTTTCTGCGATAATGAAGACGGCATATTCAAACCAATTTATCTATCATGAGTTTTTTTCAAATCCCTCTCGAAACATTTTAATAGCAAGAAACTATCCCAACTGTTTTATGCAGCCTTGTTTGTTACGTTGCCTGACTGGGGCGGGGGGGGGGGGGTTATATTCTGCTTGTATTTGTCTTTAATCTCTGTCCATTTACAATAAATAAGGAGGCCTAATAAATTCTGCCCAGCACTTTTTCCGCCATTTTAACGCTGAATATGTTGTACATTCAGAATTTACTATAGTATTTGAAATTAAAAACACGAATTAGAATTCAACATTGGTTCATTTCAATCAATATTGATGTTGTTATCTTGTCATGAAAATATGGGATCCTAATATCAGATACAATGAACATTTTATAACCAGTACAAAGGTCGTGTATTCTATGGGTTAAAGCGCCATTTGTTATGGTAAAAAAAAACATATGCTACAACACAGCGCGGAGGTAATTAGGAGGCCGATTCACAAACGTTAAAATAATAAATTAAAAAAAACGGTTAGAATGGACTTAGCAGGCGTAAACAACTGTCGTTCAATCTGGACGTATTTCAGTGAACATAACTGATTATAAATTACAATAAAATGTTTAAAAAAATTGAATATAAATCACTTTATATACATCCATATTACATTATTATGTATCTTTAGACCCATGTTCGTCTACATTAAGGTTACAAAGACTAGAGCCATACACCCTTTAAGTCTCCCATTGCTCTCACAACCACTAGCTATACCAAGAGTCTCCTGGGCTTAGAACAGACAACCAGTTGACAGCCTACCAGTTTTGTAGCACTATGCGTCGCTATGTATCGCTGGTTAAATGTGAAACGTACACAGGAAATCTCCAATGCTACATAAAAAAAAAAAATATTTCAATAGCCTTGTGATCGTCTATTATTGTCTCTGATTATATATGTAATTCTTTTCTTGGATTCCTTTTCACGTTGTGTATTTTCTTCTTAATCTCCGCCGCTAAAGCGTTTGTCTACAAGGTACAACAACACTACAGTTCGGTTCTACATTTTATATCAAACACTGGATACATAGGTTACATTACAATACTTAAAATTAACACGTTTTTTTACTCTCCTACTCCTAACTCGCAGGTCGAGTTTACCGACTGAAAAAACACTACATCATCTTGAACCTCAACGGTATCTCTCTCTCTCTCTCTCTCTCTCTCTCTCTCTCAATGCATGTCTCCTCTGTATGAATCTAGCGGCCCTCTGTCGTCAAAAATGACGTAATTATTTGTAATGATTGGTTACTAAGTCAAATTAATGATGCAGTAGTGATTTTCCTATCATTAGCGATCTGGTGATATTTTATTTTCACACAGAACCAGCTATGTTTTATAAATCTTTTTATGTGTCAACCCATCACTCATTCAATTTAAGTGCGTGAGATATGACTTGTCTACGATATCACCCTTCGTGGAAGTTGACGTAAAACTCCAGGAACAAACGAACGACTTTTCTACAAAATGAAACCCAATAATTAGTTAAAGATATAATATGGTCACAGAGACCATAGTACTACAGTTTGTGATACCATAGGGTCCGTATTCAAAGGTTTTCTTAAAGTTAAGTAAAAATAATTAAATTAAATTTTTTCCACTTAACCAAGTGTCTTACCTTAAATCGGTATTCAAAGGCTCTATTTTACATATACTTGGCTATGTGAAAACTTAACTACACACTTCAAATATGGAATACCAAAATTAGCTAAAAAAAACCCCATGAATTTTTAACTTATGGAATAACCTCCACTTCCAAAAATCACGAATTACTCACGTCGCATGTAAGTTATGTACCCTTAAGAGCACCACATACTCTATTAAAATCTTAGTTGTCATTACTAGGAAAATGTTTGTCGAAATATTATATTGTAACGCACAAAAATAGTATGACTATAATTTATGATAAATTATGATACTACGCATCCGTTGCCGGAACAGATGTTTCCTTAGATGTTTTCAAACACAATAGATTTCAATAGCAGTTATCAAATAGTGGTAGTATAATGATGGATATTGTAAACTTTGTATTTTAACAATGTATAACGAATAAAAAACAACTTAATTAGCAATACGCAGGGCTTTTGGCTTTAACGTTAGACTGAACAAATCATTCGGGTTTGTTTATTAATCTATCATTTGAGAAATTCATAGAAATTGTGTCAAGGCCTGGCCATGACTATGGTGGCTGAAAGCGTCCATTTAGATAGGCGTGTTTCTAGATACAACGCGAGAGTCGCCGTTAAGCCAGCACGACGAAAAAGGCGCCGATGGGCGACTTTTTTGTCGTACTACCTTATCGGCGACCCGCGACTTTCACAACACGAGAGTCGCCGTTAAGCCACTCGCCGAAAAAGTCGCCATTGCGCATGTAACTAACTATAAACTTCCGAGGCGAGAGTCGACGTTAAGCAACGTAACAAGCGACAGTCCCTAGGAAAAGTGACGATAGAACAGTGGGCATATGCAAGTTTACAGATCCTGTTTGTACTGGAGTTGCCAGAACCTACTGGATACTTACAATACATGCAAACAATTTTTCGTTTAGCCGCCAATCATTTATGGCAAAGCGTGCTCCTCTATGACAAAGAATATAGAGAGCGCCAGGCGATTGAAGGGTTTATGTGGGGCAAACCCCTGATGGAACTTCGAGATTTTCACTTGATTCCCAAACAACAAAACGCGACTGTAAGTGCCATTAAGGAACTCGAGAGACTTGGAACTCAACAATCCAGTTGGTCAAACAATTCGGGGGATAAGAAGAGGGGTCCGTTTCTCCCTGACGGAAGAGAAATTTGTCGTCGATACAACTCTCCAGCATGCTGTATACGGAATGAAACCAAATGTCGTCTTGCTCAAAATTGTACTATTTGTTTTAGTGTAAACCACGGTGCGTCCCGTCATTATTCAGCTTCCCGAGGGGTTGGTGCGTCGCAACCAAAAAACGGGAATGTACAGACTCAACCGAACCCTGTGACCTAGCATCGGTGTCTGGCGCTGGAGACGGTACAGTGACATCGCAATTGAACTTTTTAGCCTGGAAATCGTTACTGTCTCCAAATGACCCAGCTAGGGACTACATCTTGAATGGCGTCCAGCATGTTTTAAAATCACAGACACACCTAATACCTTGCCACAAGATCTAGTCACAAATCACACATCTTCTGTGATAAATCATACCGATGTTGAGAGACAAATATTGGATGAGATACGTCATGGGAACTATGTATTATCTGCTTTTAAACCACATGTAGTCTCCGCTCTGGGGGCTGTTAAAAAATCAAACGGGAAGATACGTCTCATTCACGACGCAAGCCTACCAGTTGACACTTCCTTAAATAGCCTTGTCAATGACAAAACCTGCTCCTATATGGACCTCAATACTGCCTGCAAATTGATTAAACAAAACAACGTTTTGGCCAAGGTTGACTTATTATGTGCCTACAGAAGTGTCCAGATTCACCCGTCTGATTATTCGTTGACTGGTTTAAGGTGGAAATTTTCGGGAGACGCTCACTACACTTACCTTTATGATACTAAATTACCTTTTGGTTGTTCGAAAAGCCCTCAAATTTTTCAAAAGCTGAGCAGCGCTGTTTGTCGTATCTTGAGCGAGCGTTTTGGTTTGACTGTCATTGCCTATTTAGACGATTTTTTGATTATTGCGGAAACGTGGGAAGAGTGTAACACTGCGCTACTGAAAACTATGGAAATCCTTCGCTGTCTCGGCTTTAGTGTTAATTATAGCAAAATAGAAGGACCTAGTAAGAAATTGATCTTTCTAGGCGTCTGCATTGATACTATTCATCGTACCCTTAAATTGCCCGAAGATAAGTTGTGCGCTTTTAAGACCTTGCTTACCCAATTCCAAGGACGGAAACGAGCATCCAAAAAGCAACTAGAATCGCTTATAGGGTAACTCAATTGGGCCAGTGGTCGAACTTCCTTAGGCGCTTGATAGATTCTAATAATCTACTAAAACACCGAAAACATAAGATTGTGCTAACGGTAGATTTTTTCAATGATTTGGAGTGGTGGTTGGAATGTATGGATATGTTTAATGGTTCAGTACCATTTCTTGATAGTCGCCCAATTACAAATATCGAAACCGATGCCTGCAATGAGGGAGCTGTCGGGCACTATAGAGGAGATTTCTTCTATGTTAACTGGAACACAGATTTTCCACATTCTGACATACTTAACAAGCACATCAATGTGAAGGAAACATTTGCCATTGTGTTGTCATTAAGGCGTTGGGCACCAGTGTTAAATAACAAACGTGTCGTGATTCTAACTGATAACATGACGGCCAAAGCTGCAATTAATAAAGGCACTTGCTCTGATCCGTTTGTAATGTGTTGGCTGCGCGAACTATTCTGGCTTCAATTTATGTATAATTTTTCTATATCTGCCCGCCATGTACCGGGACATTTAAATGTATTGGCAGATAGCTTATCAAGACTTCACGAAGCTGATCAACCCCATAGGGCATTTTCTCTTATGCCCTTATATAAACATGGTTTCATGGAGTTTAGCATGACCCAACTTCTAAATCACATGTCATTTGATTTTATATCTTCCAGGTGGCCACGATGCCTATACTAGTTTTCAAAACCAGCTAGAACAAGCTGAACTGCTACATAGAATTTTGCAGACAACTGGATATTCAACTTGTGTCGTTGTCAACTCCTCATTCCTTGTTATATGTAGCATACCTAGCAAATACCAAAGGTTTAAAATATGCCTCAGTCACTGCCTACCTCTGTATTGTCAAATATATTTATAGGTTTTATGGTCATGAATGGATTTTGCAGCATGCCTTAACAGGGGTTAGACGTATTTTGGGTGACAGTCAAAAAGGTGCAAAACCTATTGCCCCATTACATTTGTTAGCTCTTAAATCACTGCTTAATTTGTCGAATATTTTTGATCTATCCTTCTGGGTAGCCTGTTTGATTGGGTTTTTTGGGCTCCTTCGCCCAGGTAATTTTCTTTTTAAAGACAATTCTAGTGCAAAACTTTTACTTGTACATGATTTGTCCTTTTGTAATTCAGGGGCTATTTTAAATATTCATGAAACCAAAACCCTTCAGTTTCGTGAGAAGGAATTGCATGTAAATTTGCCTTTTATTGGGTACCATCCCTTATGTCCTGTGTCTGCTTTCAATAATTTGTTGGAATGCCATATTCACTTACAACACACTTCAGCGTTTCCTTTGTTGGTTGGAAATGATGTCCGCCCTTTGTCATTTCTTGTATTTTTAAATCGTTTAAAAATGTTATTAAGATGTGCTGGCTTTACAGATGCTGACTACTTTTCAGGTCATTCTTTCAGGAGAGGTGGTGCTCAATGGGCCGCTCAGAGTGGAATTCCAGTCACTATGATCCAAGAATTAGGTTTTTGGAAAAGTACTACTTATTTGCGTTATTTACATACCACCGACGCTCAAAAATTTCGGGCTTTAACTTTGTTTACCAGAACTCTCCCCCCTAACTTGGGGTTGGAGGTTACATTATTATCATAAGAAATTGAAATAATGCATCTTTTTATTCATATTCTCAATATTTTGTTATTGTTACCATATGATCTGAGTTTAGTAATTAAACTTGTAAGGCCAGCCAGTTGTTATTTTGTCATTCCCAAAAGAATTGGGTGTGAGTTACTTTAAGGAAGTTAAAATTTCCATACACCTTAAAATGGACCATTTGAAAATGTCAAAGTGACACGCCCTTTTTTGGATAAGGCCTATTTTACTCAACATCAACATGATTTACCCTTGTCTTCTAGAGCTTATTACTGTGTGATTTTCTTATTTATGTTATGTTAATAAAGTAAGCTTTCATTAAAATATAAAAAAATAATTTAAGAATATTAAAATCGAATTTCAAATAGGCATATAACGTTTTCCAATAAACAGATTTGAGCCGTTGGTTGTTTTCCAAGATAAAATACCTTTGGCCCCAACGTTGACTCACTGTGTGCTTTTATGATTTTTTTTCTACTAATAAATGTAGGCTTTCATTTTTAAAAAAAAAAAAAAAAAATAATTAACGATATTAAAATTCTATTTGAAATAGGCCTATAAAATTTTTCAATAAACATTATTTGAGTTGATTGGTTTATCTCTTTACAAACAAGTATAAACCAAAAACAACTTTAGAATGAATACTTTGCATATTGCTCTGGGTGTCATGTAATGTTTTGACGGACTTTATAGGTCCCCTAATACTATGAAATTATCCATTTTACACTACTACACAAGAATATATTAAATTATTATAAATCTGAAGTTTGCTCTAGATATCCATGACATTAGGTCTGATCTGTGTTCAGAGTTACTTTTATTTTTGTGGGGTTTTTTGTCAACTGATTATTTAGAAATAGAAAATTTAGTTTATACTGTGTACTTATGGACTTGTCTGCCATGAAAACTGAAGTTAACCATACAGCGTACTATTACTAGATAATGACAGAGTAAATTAAAATTATTTTGAATTACTCAATGATTTAAAATTAGTGACAGTGCTTCAGTAAATATTTTATTGGTCGGATTAAGGCCTACCAGTAAAAGGGGAAATGTGATTTTGAATAGCATAACAGTATTAGGCTTACTGTATTAAAAGCTTATTGCAACTGAAAATTGAGCAAAATAATATTTTTGTTATGAAATTTGGAAAGGTATATAACATACCATATACTTAACACTTAAATTGTTTACCACAAGTAATTGTAGACCTACATAGAATCACATTTTTCGATACACAAAATATAGAATGTAAAAATTTGATCCTTTAAAAATCACAACTACATGTAATTCTAAAATTACGAAAATACTAGATAGCATGCGATAAAGAATGCAAGGAATGAGTTGGTTTACATCGAAGCGCAACTACTAAAAAAAAGATCTACAATTTAAATTGCCGGATATTAATACGTTTATTAGACCTAAGACTATGTCATGTCATGGATTCAAGTGGCGTGGTTTCGATTCCCCGCTTATACGCGACAGGTGTAGGGTCGCCTGTCTAACCTCGTGGGTTTTCTCCGGGTCCTCCAGTCTCCTCTCACTCAGTCACTGCTAAAAAAAAGACCCATCAATTGAATTATCGAAATAAAACTGAACCATGTTAGTCCCGAAATTACCTTGATTTGATTTAGCTTAGACAAGTTAGAGCGAGAGGTCATATTATCATAAGTTAGATAGCCTAAAGACGTATACCTATAGATCTACTTCTAGGCCTACAGTACTCAGTACTCTACATTGGAATATATCATAATATGCAATATAATGCCAATTAATCAATCAAATTTGAAAACACCTTTCACCAAATATGTACTCTTACAAAATAAATTTTTTGATGATATATACTGCTGTTATTATTATCTATAATATTATAGTTTTTTCATCTGTTCAACTGCGAGGCGTCTTCTTTAGCTGACATGTTTAGTGACATTACAGACAAAACCCAAGATGCAGTGCGCGACCTACTTTGTATGCAAATGAAGCAGTCGCCACTCTGTGATTACGGGCCTGCTACTACACTGTGCACTCCGGTTAAAAGGAGTCATTATAATCTCCTTAACTTTAAGGTACCTCCCATAGGTCACTTAAAGTTAAGTTATATTTATAGCACGGCTTTCATGAGTTAACAGGTTTAACCGTAGGTCGAGATGTTAAACCTGTTAACGAATTAAACGTTCTATAAATGACTTGTAACATTGACACCTGCTCAACATGCTTGTTGTTGTTGCACAGAATACCTACCCCACTTCTCTATATGATTTCTACTAAAACTATAGCTACGAGAACGTAATTAAAAACGCTGAGATATACGGATATGCTTGTTTTTAGCTACGATTGGATGCCTTTAGTTCCAAGTGGCAAACTCAATTTCTTTATTAATGTATGTACCATCTTAAAAATAAGTTAATTTTATACTATTAGTACTTATTACACATACGCAGTCCAATCTACTGAAACAACATTCATTTATCAGCAAATATTGACAATAAAGTAAATCAAGCGATGTTTTTATCAAAATTGATTCGGACGTTCATAATTACGCCGTATTACTACTGCGCAACTCTGATCGGATGGGTACTTTGATTGGCTACTGCACACGAGGCATGTGTTACAGACGTAAATTTAAAATGTCGGAAAAAGCAATCGACTGTCGCTTTGATTTAAAAAGAGGGGATTTGTACCCGTTTCAGGTAGGATTATATGCGTAATTGTAGTTGGGGGTGGCAGAAATATTATAAATAACAATAACCAATCGTTGTTTTGGTTAAAAATATTGTCAATTTTGTTTACAAATGCCGGGTGCGAATCGCTCCCGCATGTGCTACGTTGAAGGTAAAAGCATCATCTCTTATCTCGAAACACGGAGGGTTGAGAGATCAGGTTTGTTATCTACTAAAGCTAGTGTAAACCAGCAAAAGTGTGCAATAACATTGAACATGTCTAGTTATTGCACGGTTTGTTATCTACTAAAGCTAGTGTAAACCAGCAAAAGTGTGCAATAACATTGAACATGTCTAGTTATTGCACGGTTTGTTATCTACTAAAACTAGTGTAAACCAGCAAAAGTGTGCAATAACATTGAACATGTCTAGTTATTGCACGGTTAAACTCCACCCAATCTACAAGAGGAAAAACAATCTGCTTATTCAACGAAAAGAACGAAGGAAGATTTCCCGTCCATGTTACAAGTGTATTTTTCTCACTTAAACTGGCCTTTGAATACCGCTAAAAGACTAAACTCTTAAAAGTTAAGGCAGCTTAACTTAAGAGAAAATCTTATACTTAACACTTCCTTTTGATACCACTTACCCTAAACTTACAGGAAGTTACGTATATTTAAGTGAAATCTAGTAGTTAAGTGACTCTCTTAGACTTAAGACATCCTTTGACAACGGACCCTGTCCTATGTGCGCCTTATCGGTGTTGTCCAGAGAATCCAATATTTTTCTATTACGATGGGGTGTCTCTACTATACCACAATTGTCATACATTTATGTGCAATAACTACCCTATAAATACAGCCGTGGGAGAATGCATCTTTAACGTGATTCTCTCTATGAACACCGAAACCAAGATGGCGTCTAAACTAGGTTTTCTTTTCTTTTTTATTTTAATTTAATCGCCTAAATAGAAATAAGGAAAATAACCATTAGCCGCCTGGATCTTAAAGGATTTAAAGAATTTTATCCAGTTTTATTCGATTCAAGTGAGAACGGGCCGCTTTATTTCGTTTTATATTGAGGGAATCTTGTGCATGAAGATTCTACTACGTACAGTTTGGGGTGGTTGCTTACTCACTTGGTTGCTTCGTCCTCAATTATCCTAAAAGTAAATTAGTCTCGAAATCAGACGAGGTTGTTCAACATATATGGTTATTTCCCAAGTAAATATTAGCAGTAAAACAAATATTGCATATAGAATAAAATATTAATACGGTTAATGAATATTAAGTTACACGTTATTGTAAACTCGTACATACACATATATTGTCAAATGTGTTATTTAAACAAATGAAATTATAAACGGAGAACCATAAAATATGTGAATAATATTAAATATAATGTATCTTACTTAAATGTAAATTATTCTCTAAATCAGGGGCCTGTTTCGCGAAATTTTAAAGATACATTATGGGAGATTAGATACCGAGTGGGCAGTTCTCACTATAATAGTTAAAAACTAGATAATGTAATGGCAATTTGCTGAAAAATTTCAGTCAAATTGATCCACTATGAACCGAGAAATAAGCGATCGAAAGTTCTGCATAGCCTCGGTCATCATTACTAAAGTTGGTACGACAAAAATCATAGTCTCGAATATCCATTTAATCGTTAAATCGAGAAGGAAAGTTATGCAGCAAATCGGATCATAATCCACCAAATAGCGCAGGCTAGCGTTGACATCGAGAGTTGGTTATGGTCTGGATACGTTAATTAATGTCTAATTAATAGTTTATATAACATTTCAGGCCTAAAGAAAGACCTACAATAGGCAGATTTAGCTCTTGCATAATGTATGTTTAACTAGAGATAAAATCCAAATTTTAGTAGATACTTCAATTTTGATTGGCTAAGCACTAAAATCAGGGTCTCTAAATCAGGGACGTGGGCCCTTATTCACGAAAACTTAAACTAAGATAAAATCGAAATTTTAAGAAATACTGCAATTCGATTGGCTGACCAGTAAATTCAATGTGGATATATCCAATGAAGTTGCAGTATTTCTTAAAATTTCGGTTGTAACTTAGTTTAAGTTTTCGTGAATAAGGGCCCAGTTTCACGAAATTTTAACTAAAGATAAAATTCAAATTTTAGTAGATACTTCAATTTTGATTGGCTAAGCACGAAAATCAATCTCATATTATCCAATCAAATTACTCAAATTTGGATTTGATCTTAGTTAAAACTTCGTGAAACAGGCCCCAGACGAGGTTGTTCAACATGCATGTTTATTTCCAGAGTGAATATAGATATTGTTGTTGTTGTTTATTACAAATTTAACTTCCAATATATTATGGACAGTGTAGATGTTGCACTCTGCTTGGGTTTATAAACACGTTGGTAACCAGGTCTGATTTAGAGCGTCCTAAAACTGAACCCGATTACAAAACTACAGAAATAATTAATTAAAAAAAAAAAGTTAAAATAATATGTACCTAATCAGACATAATAATTGTGTAGCAGTAATATTTTCAGTAAGCTTATAGTGAAAAAACGTCAATCAGTCAGGACGTA